GGAAACAAATTCATTCATTAATTGAGCACATATATCTAATTGTCCTTCATTAATTCAGCATATATTTCTATCTCTGAACTGTACCAGCAGTTTGCTCTATCCATTGATGAAATTCCGCATTTGTGCCTCCTCCCCCAAAATATTTTATTTGCGATTTAGGCACAACATGAACCTCCACAGACCTGTTCACTAGTGTCAGTGGAGCTACCACCCAGACCAGTATGGACCAGGAGTTAGAAATATTTCTTAGTCTTGGGCTTTAACTTCATTCCTGCCTCGTGCAGACACTTTCTTTGATAACAGATACAGACATTCTGCATCACTCTGTGGACACTGTCACCCTTCTTACCATGGAAGAAGCTCAAGCTCCTAACTTATTCCAGATTGTGATGCTGGGAGTGAAAGGCCCGAGTACCCACGCCCTTCCTTCCATCAGTCCGAGGCACCAGAGGAGTCACACTTTTTGTCTGTCTCCATTCACCTAAGCAAAGGAATAACTCACCTCCCTTGTATCTCCCAGAGGTTCCCCCAGCAGCAAGGAAGGATGTCCCTGCCGTGCACAGGCACCCTCCTCCCAGGACATTGCCCCATGGCCCTTCCCCTTCACCCTGGGGCAGCAGCGGCTGCAGGAGGAGTGGAGAGCTCCTGGGTGGGAAGGGAAGAGGCAGACTGCTGGGGGAAGGATGATCCCCTGAGATCAGGACAGTCAAAGGCACATTATGCATCCACATCAGCCCCTGCCCTATCACTCATCTGCCTTTTTTAATGCTTTCTGTTTTGTTTTGGGGTTTTTTTTCCTAATTTGTTTTAGTTCCAAGAAGGATAAAACAGTGAAGGTGAGTATAGAGAGCATTAGTGGGCACCATAAGACCATGCAGGAGAGATCAATATAGCAAGAATCAGAGGAACAAAGGAAAAAAAAACCCATAAAATATGAAGAATCCTAAAAAAAGATGTTACTGATGGGGAGGGGGAGAGAAGAAAGAGAATCTAAAGAAAAGTTTTCTAAAGAACAGTGCATCAAAAGAGATGAACTAAAAAAAGTTCATAGATTTTGAGTTATACATTCCTCTCAGCAAAAAAAGGTAGAAAAGTAAGTCACATTAAATATGTCATTGCCACTCATCTTTTAAAAATGAAAGGGGTAAAGAAATAAAAAGGTGGATAGAACAGATAATGAAATGCCTCGTTTATGTGATACCCACACTGAAGGAGCAGCTGCCAGGTTAAGAGGAAGGGTGGGAAATAGTACCCCCTTTGAAAGATGACATCTGTGATGAATCTAACAAGATATTTCAAAATCTAGTCAAATTAAAAAGAAAGCCAATGAAGGTGAATGCAGCAGAATATATTTTGGGAGCAAAGTACAATAAAAATTGTGCAAATGCCACTAACAAGGTAACATTTACCATCGTGTCTTAATATTGTTTGATATTTACTGTCCATGTCCACACTTGTAAATAAGGACTATCATCTAGCATTTGAGCAGGTTCTCAGAGTTTATTATCTGGACAATTTTTTTCTTTGCAATTTACACATACAGATCCCCTACAGCAAATAGTGATGATTGTACTCATTTTCATTCAAGTGTTTGTGTTAAAGAACCAGGCCAGCAGATTCCCCACTCTCACAAAAGACACCTCCAGAAAAAAGGAGTGCTACTAGTGCACAGGTGGAATAAAAAATAATAATGATAAAAAAAAGATCTTGGGAAAAGTGAAAGATGGTCTGAAAAAAAGACAATACTGTTCAAGAGAGAACTCAAGGCACCTCAGTGACCCAAGAAGAGTCAGCTACCCACACAGGGGAGCAACCATCTATACTAGACTGCACAGGATCTGGGCATCACTGTGCCACATAAACTGGCAAAGTTCAGTAGAAGCCATCTACTGCAAAATGGGCAAGTCCTGTGGTTGTGTGTATGGGCAGAAGTACAACAATCCTCTGACCTGTAAAACCCTGGTGGGAGTCCTGCAAGAAATTCACAAGAACCCCTGGCCCAGAGGAGAGTCATAAAATCACTCAACACTTCAGAGAAAACCAGTAAGAAAACCAAAGGAGGCTGTGATGTCGCAATGTCCATTTATGTTAGGAACATATTATTGTAGTGAGTGCAGCAGCCTGCTCAAAAATAAAGGGATAAATCAAAGCAAAGAAGATTCTTTTTAGATATTAGGGAAACAAAACTTTGTAGTTTCAGAGATAATGACTGCCTGGAGAGATTCTGCAGCACTCAAGTTGATGCATATACAAACAAAACTCTTTCAATTGTACTTTCAGTGCCACCTGAGGAGTCCACAGTCTGCAACAGCATGAGGAGAGGAATCCACCTCAGAGAACTCATCCTCTCTTCCCCTTCACCTCTTTAATATGGGGACTTCAGCATATCTTCAATTGACAGGAGAATAAAGCAACCTGTTCAGCATAGTCAGATCAAAAGGCAGACTGGTGTGAGTCACAATCACTTAGCAACTTGCTTAAATGAACTGTGGACACAGAATATGTTCAAATAATTTGCTGATAATTCCCCTTGAACATGTTTGGATTAAAACCTTATTTTCTTTAAATCTCTGTAGCTGTTAAAGTTCTTTTAGCAAGATGCCTGTGTTTTATGGTCCTGTTATTATATATTATAATATATATTATATCTTTAGCTAGAAAAGACATAAAAAACATTTCAGTTTTAAAACCTAAATTCAAAGAGCTGTTCTTCACTGTGAATAAAAATAAATAATTGGAAGAGCCACAAATAAATCTCTGGCTTTTCCAGCTCCTAGTTCCAGTTACATATCATAAACAGCCTTTCCTCACTTTGATGATCTGCTTTGGCTTTATTTATTTATTTATTTGTTTGTTTAAAATAAAAAACATCCTAAATTAATTTCTACAGGTCTTGTTTTCTGGAACTGGTTGTTGCCCTCCTATTTTTTATTTCTTAGGAGACTATCTGGCATTTATGTCTCGTGAAATTTGAAAAAGACACCCCAGATATTTTATTATTATTCAGTATCGCTTTCTAGATGGAAAAATGTTGTTGGGTTTTAAGGTGCCAGTCACAGTTGCTCTTGCCTGATTTTTCAGGTTTTAATTCCAGCTCCTCAGCATGGCTGTGGCCAGCAGGCTGGCAATCCACCAGCTGCATTCTGCCTCTCTTGCTCCTAATTATTCAGCTCTCCTCCCTTGTCGGTTCTGTTCTGATCACCACAATTAATTCCCATTTCTTAGTCCTGTGTTCACCTTCAACTCATTAGTTTTTGGCAGGTCTCCACTACTATTTTGGCTCAGTATTTTGCAATTTAACTCATCACTATTGTAAGGCCCTTTTTCCTCCTCTTTGGTTTTCTAAGGTTGAAGGACTGGTTTTACTTGTTTCTTACAGAAGAATGGGTGAGTATTTTGCTCTTGTCAGGTAGGTCCCAGGGTATCTTCTGCCTCTTCCACCAGCCATTTTCTTTCACAGGCTGATCTGGGAGCACAAAACCATCTGAAGTGTGTAGCAGCACCATCAAACACTTCATCCTGTAGGCTTTAGAGCTGTTTTATGTGCAAGGATGTTTGGGGAAAGAGGCTGAAGAATCTCAATTCTCAAATGAAAGTTTCAAGCTCCAACCAGTTGTTTAAAGGAATATTACAATTAATATCTCACATGGGGGTTTTAAGCTTCTTGGGCAGAACCAGGCGGCACTGACTGATGGCTTTTCTCTAGAAGACAAGAAATGTGGCCCCTTCAGAGTGATTTTCTCACTTGGTCCATTTTTCCTCAACAGATTTGTGGCTTCACTGACATTCTTAATTGGTAAATTGTTGTGTAACCAAAGTCATACTGCAACTGTTCAGTTATTGTACATGCATGCCTTTATCTGAGATAATCTTAATTCTTGAAGTGGATTTTTGTACGAATTTGGAAACACAAATTTAGCTTTTCTCTGTGGGGAAGCAAAAGGAAGTTTGTGCCTGCTTGGATTTTCCAGTCCCAGTATTGTATCATTCACTGTCTGATGACAGTGATGAGGTGAAGTACCAGAAGATTATAGACAAACTTTCAAAAAATCGTCCAATAGTAGGATTGAATTTGTTTGGGTCAAGTTCACTCGTATGTAACAGTGGAGTTGTATCACTTGGAGCAAGCTCAAATGAAACCTTAACACAGCTCCCTGACTACTTTGAAATCCTTATTAGTAATGCCTGGTTTTACTTTAGAGACATCATGTTAAATCCTGTGCAAATACAGGGAAAGACAGCCATTCAATACAGACTTCATATTTCTTGGAAGGAAATGTCCTGGATTTGGCTGCAATAGACTTCACTTTCTTCCTAGTAGCTGTGCAGTGCTGTGGTTTGCATTTAGCATGAGCACACTGTTGGTAAGACACTGATGCTCTCAGTGTTGTGGAGCAGGTCTTGCCCTAAGGGAAGGACTTTCCAGTTCCCCGTGTTCTGCCAGGGAGCGGGTGCACAAGAAGCTGAGAGGGAGCATCCTGAGGATAGCTGACCTGACCTGGCCAAAGGGATATTCCATACCATGGAATACCATGCTCAGTACAGAAACTGGGGGAGTTGGTCAAGAGGAGCTGATCGCTGTTTGGGGGGCTGAGCACTGGTCAGCAGGTGGTGAGCAATTGTATCGTGTATAGTTTGTCTGTCTTGAGTGGAGGATTTTCTCCTTTCTCTCTTGCTCTCATTTTCATTAAGATTAGTGTTATTATTAATATAAATTATTTCAATTGTACATGTTTCTTATCTTAACCATGAGCTTTACTTTTTCCTCTTTTCCTCCCATTCCCACTGGAGGTAGAGGAGAGTGAGCAAGTGGCTGCATGTTACATAGTTGCCAGATGGAGTAAACCATGACAGGAAAGAACTAGAATAAGTACAGAATGGGTTCAGGAATACCAATGCTCCAAGACTTTTTACAGACCAGTTGGTGCTGCAAAGTGATTTGGGAAAAAAAAAATATTTCTTAGGGTGAAGCTGCATGAAATGCCTAATGCTTGAATCAAGAAACATTAACAGAGAATATACAGACAACAGACAAAGACACAGGCTTTCTTTCTCAATGTGAATACATCAGTGAAATGAAACCTTCTGTGCTAATTTATTGTGCAATAAATGTGATGCCATATGTATATTTATTAATATATGCAATTTTTTACATTTCTTCCAGTTTTTGATTGAAGTATTTTTTTAATAAACTGTGCCTAGCAGAAGCTTTTTTTTCACTGTACTTGAGCTTGCAGAAAATAAAAAGACACAGATCCAGCTTGATATGAAGGAGGAAGTGAGCAGACAGTTTTCGAAATGGAGGCATCGAAAGGCTAGAGAGTCCCTCGGAGTCTGTAATGCCTTAGTATACACAAAAGAAAACAAGTCAGGTCCTTGCTCATGCAACATCTTGTTCTACTGTCCTCTGAGTCAGGCAATCAGTGAGCTACAAAGTATGTGTAATGATTTGAGTCTGCTTCCATGCTACAAGGTGATCCTTTTAGTAGGACTGCACTAGACTGGTTAACCTCTTTGATGTGAGCGATTTCCCCTGAGGAAAAGATAAAAACAAAAAACAAAAACAGAAAACAGAGGCATGATCACTGCAAACCTGTTCATCAGCAACCACTCAGTGTTGCCACATCACTCTCAAATAACTAGGGGCACCAACTGGAGTCTGTCAAATCTTAAACCACAGGAAGTCCTTACACTTAAACACCTGCACTGCCAGCCAGCCAGATTGTTTCACAGAACAAGCCAGCAAATTCAAAGGCCATTTTTGAACAAGATTTGTTTTGGCTGATGAGAACCTGATGCTGAAGTTTTTGCTGTCAGTCACACCCAGAACTTGAAGGCTACCACAAGCAGGAGTGCATTGTGCTGCAAAGATGAATGTGCAAACTGCAGTAGCTCTGTCATGGAGGACAAAAAAGCTATTTTTGAGTTAAGGTAAGAAAGTAAGAGGCAGATTGCATATAGGTATGAAAGCAGCTTTCCCATGAACACAGTTATAGGTTTGTTGAGACCATATTTACTATTTATAGGGAACATTGGTCAGGTATATTACATGTGACTGCATAACACTGCTTTGAAGGTGTTTAATTTCCATATTGTTGTTTTCCTCATCGTTCCTCCTGTTGCAAGGACGTGGTTTCAATTGTTTAACAAGTTCTTTTAATAAGGTGTAATGACTGTCCCACAAGAACTAGGTCTACAACGTGAAGAAGATGGTGTAAGGTATGTCACTCTGGTATATTTCAGGCAGATTTGAGCTTTATCTGAGCCAGATAGAAACCACAGAATGGGAATTAGCTCTCCTACTGCCACATAAAAGGAGTAAGCTCTCCAAGTGCCATCCTCCTGTGGCTCTGATCCAACAGAGGCAGAGCTGGCACAGCAAGCTGACATCACAGGCATACCCTGACAATGTAACACAAATATACCATAAAACATTAAATAGAAAATGGCCCTAACTCACCAGTTAGATATTTAATACTTACATTTATTATATTGTTCATTTTAAGTGCCCAATTCAGACGTATCAAACTGGTTTCAAGGAGAATACAGCAAAAAAATACTGTAACTATGGAGAGATGCTTAATTTTCTGCAGTAAATGAACTTATTCTGCCATAACAATAAATTGTTAAGCCATCTGCAGTATTATAACTCAGTGAAATTACACAATTTAATGTCTATTGTCATCATCAATTACATTTAAGCTCACAGGGATCTGTAAGTTGGTCTTGAGCATTCGCTCAAATGCAATATATCAGAGTGGGTCCTCATAAAAGGAAGAATAACTATTTTATTCTTTGTAATGTGGAATACAAGTTGAACAAATTAGGATGAATATTTCCCCTACAACATAATTTGAAAGGGAACTCATGATTTGCACTGTTGGGTTAGACTGGTCATCCATCAGGTTCCCCATATCACCTGACAGTATTATTACCTACTTCTCTGAAAGATGGAAAGTCTCCGTCCTGGTGCTCTGTCTTCCCTGTATCTGCCACTTTCTATGTATATTAAATTCACAGCTTCTTGATACTTTCTAACCCTTAAATTATATTTTCTTCTAATGCAGCAGGTAAGCTGTTATAGTAAGACATCTTTTCTTTTTAAATAGTCAAAAGAGCCTCAACAGCAGTGTGGCCTTGGAACACAATTTAAAATATTAAAAGCATTTCTGAGATTAATGTTTTGTTTGACAATTTTGTTAGACAATTCAGGACTTTTGGTGCTAGACATAATCTCTGAAAATATTGAGCATATGCTTATCTTTGCCTTTCATTAGGTTATTTGCACTTAATTTTACAGATGTACAAGTCTGGCTACTTTCTGTAAACATGTATGAGTTCCTTTTAGTACTGAACTGCACAACCTGCTTAATTAAAATATTAAAACCAGGAGTTCTTGATTAGTTACAATTTGCTCAAAACTACACTGGAAAGCTGCATAAACGCTTGTTGTGGTACAAAATCTGTTAAATAATTTTTTATTATTATTTACAACAACTATTTAGGAGTTTCAAAATTTCTGAATTTCTAGATGGACCATAAACTAATTCTAGCATGTCAGGAATGAATTATGTTATCACATCAAGTAGGAAGTCCTGACATAAAATCAGGCCAAAAAGTAGTTAGTTGATCTGATTTGTGTGATCATTTTCTACATATTGTTTGAATTTTCCCCTAGAGACACAGTGAGATGTCATGATAATTTTTATTGTGTTCCACATAACTTGCTCCCTGGATATTGCTGATCTTTTGATATTTTTTCTCCAAAGCCCTACAATGATCAGGAACTCTCTGGATGGTCCCCTCCTTCAGAGAAACTTTCCCCTGCCTCAGAGAAACCTCCATCTGAACAACAATAACAACAACAAATGGTCATTTTCCACACTCTAGTAGTTCTAATTTATCACAAAGTTGGGAAAATGACAGTTTAGAAGATACTCCCTCCTCAGGAGATCTTCTTAAATACTTATTCTGAATCATATTAAGTTCTGTGATTAGGAAAATAACCTTTTAATACACAGCCCCAGATACAGAATTATCACATCTTCTTATTAGATCTGCAGGGACTTGTTATTTTCCACTTTACAAAATATTCCTTTCAAACTCTGTTTGAGTATACTTTTACTTTAGCTCTCTGTGGTAGAATTTCATAATTACTGCTTCTAGGAGATTTCCAGATTTACTTAATTTACAGACTGATGTAAGGATCAGCCATTGTGGGTCATAATTTAGGAGCTGAGCCTAACTATTTCAGATACAATCTCAACATCATTTCCATACACCAGATTTTGATTTGGGAACATGGCACTTTTCAGAGTTGTAGCATATAAAGACATTTCCTGTGCTAATGAGATTAAAGAAAATTGGGGCGGGGGGGTGGCAAATGTTTATCTGAATAATGAAAAAGATATTCTTAATATTTTCAATATATTTTTGCCATCAACATTTAGAAGCATATGGCTAAATTCTAAAGATTATTAGGATTTTTTTGGCTGTATTAGTGCACTTTGGACATAATGATTGAAAAAATTTAAGAATTTTACTAATAATGCAGATACCAAAATGGAACCCTGCACACATACCCTGACAAGGGAATCAGAGTACAAGAAGGCAGCACAGCAGCTGGAGTGAACAAGTACATCTAAAAGTACAAAATCAATTGGCCTCAGCATTCAGTCCCTGTTTGAACATACTAATTGCTTGACACAGAGTTTTCAGCTTTACTTCTAACGAACTTAGGGGCAAAATTGTAAAGCTATGTACAGATGCTGCTAAATACAGTTGTGCTGACTGACCCATTTATGCAGCATGACACTAACACCTCAAATGATCCAGGAAAAAAGTCAGCAACAACCTCCATACGTATGTGTCTTAAAAGAAATCAACATGAAATGTCTACAGGCGTTGGAGTTGAAATGTATGGTAGAGAAACATCACGTATTTTCCTTTTAGAAGATTAATTATCTTCCTTTCTGCTAAGCAACCTCAACTGTTCCCATTTCATGTTTCTTTATTGCCAGTGCAGGTGCCAGTCCCCAGGACCTATACTGGTAGCACTAGAAAAGAGAATTCCATGCATCTGATGGGGAAGGAGAGGTAGAGTCCCACTGTGAGCAAAATGAGATGTGCAGTGAGAAGCAGGTCTCAGTGTTCCCCATCTGCTCACGTGTGAAACACCTGCAGCACGCTGTCAGCTCAGCCAGATCAGCAGGGAAAGCTTCCAAGTGACATTGCAGTGCCCTACACACAGAGCTGGGGGGTAAACAGCCCCTGACAGGAATTCATCTGGAGAGACATGGGAGAAGAAGCAGTAAATCCCTTTCCATGGTGAGGCAGTCTTTGCTCTACCAGCAAGGGAATTGATTCAGAACTGCTCTGGGGTTCAGTATTCTGCTTCAGCTCCCACAGCAGCACAGGATGCTGCTGTCAGCCATCTGTGCAGGTGTATTTCTCTTTCAGGTGTGAGGAAGGGGACAAGGCTAGTATTTACAGAATTTGGGGAACAAGTTGTCAGCACAGCTGCAGTGCTAAGTGGTTACATGTGCAGGGAAATCCTTCTGCCTCTGGCTGAGATTTGCAGCCTTTTGTTCCTTTCTCATTAGGGCCCTAGTGTTTCCTGCAATGATCTGAAGCAGGAGGCAGCAGCTGAACAACTGCTTTCCTGTTTTGGCTCACTCCAAATCCAGGGACATCCAGTTCTTTCTCTTTTTGCACTTTGCATTTACTGATGAGCTGCTCTCATTTGTGATTAACCTAAAACCTCTTGCTAGATGGGGTAGTTTGAATTTTAATAACCATCTGAAATGTAGGCTTCCAAGGGACTGATGCACAAGAAAAATATTTTTAGTATGTTTGTCCTGGGCCTGACTCCTCAAGTTTCCATACCTCTCTGCAGTTCTCATTCCTGCCTAAGAATCAGGTAAATTTTTTTCATCTGGAAAACGGCAGACACTGGCCCAGTACCTGACCAGTCTATGCTGGCTCCTCACTTGAATGAACCTGGTTGTGTGTTACTCCTAAGCTCCTCTCTTCCAGCACAGAGCACAGCAGCTTAGCTCCAGTCACTGCAGAACAGCACAAGGAGGCCATTCCTCATTGACATGTCCTTTATCATTCTTCTCTGTGGGCATAGTTCTTAAAAAAACTAATTAAACTAGGGGTTTTTGCTAATTAGTAGGCCAAAATAGAAATTTTAATTATTTATTTGTTCTTTTTATTCAAACATGAACAAGACATCTCTTCCTGAAATGGAGAAGGCCTTAATTTCTACAATTAATTTATTATTTTCATTCTTGTTTTGTATTTGTCAAATAAGTAGCTTTGTGATTTATATTTCTTCTGACTAACTGGTTCTTTGTTTAAATTTTGGGAATAATCTGTAAGTAAATTCAAAATGAGATTCCAGAGCTGAAACTGCATTGAATTTCTTGGATAATGCTATACTTGAGAAAAACCTAGCCCTTGGCAGGATTTCAGGACCAGATGGACATTTGGTGTGGCACAGTAGGGTACACAAGGTTTACCTATTCATACAGTAAAATTTCTTGATTAACAGATGAAATTGATCATTTATGTGCTTTGTTCCTCCATAACAGGTATAGATTTTAACATGAAAAGAGATTATACTTGTTTAAACATCTAGAAAGTCTATGACCCACTGATAAGAACTGAGGAAGCTACTTTTATGAGTTTTAATTTCCATCTCTAGGCAGTAATTCACAATGTCATGTTAAGTGACATTGGATTCAAACTCGGTGAAAATGTGCTCTGCTCAATGGCCTTTGCATTTCAAATCTCATGCATGAAATGGTCGATTGTTACTGGTTTGGAGGGGGAAAAAATCAAAGGACTCTGGTCAGCAAGTTCTTCCAGGTAAATGGGAGAAGACAGCTGGAAAGTATATAGGTAATATAAGATATAATGGTTTCAAACTCAGAATTATTAAATGGGGTCTTGTTATGAGGTTGTGAGTGGAGATAATTATAGTTTGATAGCTCTCTAATTTAATATATGAACGGAACTTGTTATGTTGTATACTGGCTGTATTTCCCTAGGACCTCACAAACATACAAGCACCTCTTTTTTTTTTTGTGTTCTGTATAACTGTGCAGTGGCAGATGAAATGCTAACACTGATGGTGGTGTCTGGAGTCATGGCACCAAGGCATGAGGATGGAGGGGCTCCCCCCACAGCTCTAATGGGGGAGGCTACCCCTTCTTGCCTCACTAACTTAGTTCCTGGTGGGACAATAAAATTTGCATGGGGTGGAAATTAAATTAACTCATTCCCCCTGTAAAGCAGGTCCCTTTTTCTCGAAGTTTCCAGACCAGTAATCACAGCTAAGCACCAGGCTGGGGCTCTAATCCTACTCAGTCTGCCGCTGTCACAAGTCCTGCATGCACATGAGAAATTATAGACAAAATAGTTCTTTAAAGAACCTGTTGCCCCAATCAAAATTACCAGCGTATATTCACCTACTTTCCCCCCCCCTGTAATTTAGAAATTAGCACTTAAGGTAAATTTGCTGAGCTTTTTAAATTTTAATTGTTAATTTTTTAAATAGTTTTTCCCTATGTGAATTCTTCAAAAGAATTTGAATTTTTAAATGTCACAGAAACTGCTGATTTCAGTCTCTCTACTGCTTTAGCATGCAATGAGATCCTCCTGCTCCATCACTTAGATCTTTAACTTCCCTAGTCCCTTGGGGAGCTGCAGGTGACTAGAGTTTTATTAGTCTCAAAGAGGAAGCTGAGGGGCTGAGCTAGGCAGGGGGGAGTCCAGAGCAGTGTCACTGCTCTCTGTGTCACTGCCTCTGACTCAAAGCTGTGACACACGTGGTTGCTTGTGTTACTCCACGACAATTCACTTATCTGATGGCTTCATTCCTGTAGTGCTGCAGTGTCTGTGCTCTGTATTTTCACACAGTATCCAGGAGGGTGAGGCGGACCAAGGATAGCTGGACTTACTACTCAAACTATAAAGTCTTCAGTAATAAATATTTCATAAAGCAAGTGACAGCTTGCTAGTAGTTCTGTATATTTTATGTGAATGAAGACCTGCTTCTAAGGCTAACCATATTTTCTGCTGCAGACTGCTGAAGGCATTAGTAATTTTGTACTATAAAATCTAGAGCAGCTAATTAGTCAGTTTTTAAACTGAGCATTTAGACCTTTCATGAACAGCACCAGCTTACTGAAAATCTTCTGGAAAGAAAACCCTTCAATGTCAAAGCAATGCAGAGCTGAGCCTAGTGTATAGCTCCAATTCTATTTTTTCTCCATCAGACTAAAATAATGACTCATTATAATAGGTTATTTCCATGTAATTCATGAAATAGTACAGAGTAATTGCCCTCAACAAAGTTTCTAAAGTTTCTACTTTAACAAATGCTTTCTGTAGCAAGTATAACCCAATTTCGTTTAACATTGATCAGGAGCCTCCTAGAGTCAACAAATCAGATAATGAATTACAAGTCCATCTGTTCAGACTGAGTCCCTAGACACAGCCAAGGTTACTGTGTTTTTATTAAACACTTCAAATGGAAGAAACTGAGGTCTAATTTAGTTTAATATAAATATATTGATGTAATACAAATATATTTGATATAACTGAGGAAAAATCCGGTGAAAATTGGTCTAAATATTGCAAACCATCAGAGAAGAGAAACTGTAATTTTCACCTCACTAAATCAGATATGATAGCATTTATCCAGGTTGTAGAAGACCCTTTTCACACTTATCTTCTGTATTAATCAGTAGAACAGATCTATTCCACAGTCCCTCACTTCACAGTTGATCAAGTTAATCAGTACACTGTAGAATATTCTGAGAAATGTTTCCCTCATCCTTGTTGGTTGGAACCACTGTACCAAGATAGATAATTACGTATTATAAACTCATCACAACCAAGAAAAAGAGTGGAAGAACAAGGATGTATGGTGGAAAGAGGTCCTGAGGAAGTGGTTGACATGAATTCAGTCATCTTGGAAAAAAGGTTTGCATTTGAGCATCCTGATATTCTGGATTAATTTGCAAGCCTCAGAATTGTCAGTCTAATAGAGATTATAGATCTAGCAGTGACATGTTTTTCTTTCATACCTCACCTGACTTGACAGACTCCACCCAGGTTAACAGGTAGTAATTGGGAAAAAAGCAAAACCACAGATTTTATTTCAGAGTTTGCTCTGTGAAAAAGAAAAAAAAAAAAATCCCCCTCTTCTACCAAACTACTAATGTCCAGAAATCCTCTTTTCCATTTCTAGTTTGCAGCTGGTTTATGGGGTCTGCCTTGCATCTCTGGCATGCTGTGATTCTGGTACTCCTGCCCTGAGATTAGCAGGATGAAAATCGGGCACGGCTGCAGGGCACAATGCTCCCATGTTTGTGCCCAGAACTGCTGGTTTATCTGTAAGGCTGCTCTGGGAGGGATTTCAGCATCTCCCAGTCTTGTCTTCCTTTTTTCCCTTTCTGCGCTGTGTTCCCGACCCCTCTACCTGCAGCTTGCTATTTCCCCCCTCATGGCCACCTGTTTGCACAATGTTTACCATAGCCAATTCCTGACCCCTGGGCTGCTCAAAATGCCATGCATAAATGTAGCATTGCAGCTTGCCAGGCACTGTGACTGGGAAAAAGTCTGGCTCGCAGAGGTCCGTATGTGTTACCCACTCTATGCACTCTCTACAACAGACTTTTTATTAATATGGAACTTCCAACTGAATTGTAATGGAATTATCATGTATAGTGCTACCATGTACAATGTTGTTTTATAGATCCAACCTGTTTAGACAACACACAAATCACACTGCAACATGCTATGGCAACACCACCATGCAAAACATAGGGGTTTTTGTTTCAAACATTGGGATAGTTTCCTTTGTGGCTGTTTATTTACTTTTAGTGTCCTTTACTGACTTTGTCCCATTGAATCCAAATTTCTTCCTGATTACAGTGGATTCAAAGCATATTACAGGAAGCCTTTACCTATAAGAAAGTAGTTAAAGAATTACTGTTTTGTTTTTAAAAGTGAGATATTCCCACAGCCTCACAAGATTTTCACTGCATTTTTTTTCTTTTTTTTTTGATTACTGGAAAGTATATATGTATTTTTTTAAATACTTGAGGTGATACTCTTGAGCCTCATTACAGGGGAGACAGTTTCTGACAACTGCTTCTCCTTCCCTAGGAACTGAAAAAACAAAAACCATGATCTTTGCTGAAAGCTCTCATATTGTTCATTTCAACACACACAGCTCCACTAACCAGGTCACAGAAAAAGCCACTGACGCACACACACACACACACAGAGCAGCGTCACCTGCACAATTCAACAGACAATGCAGACAAACTCGAGTATAATCCAAGATCTTTCTACCTCTTTTCATAACAGGTTAGTGCTCGCTCTCAGTGTTGGTGTACAGTTTTTATGGCATGGAAAAATAGGGATGTTTCTGCCCTACAAAAATAAATGCGTTCAATTCTTTAGTTGGAACTTTCACAATGTAAAAGAAAAAAAAAATCCCAAAGAAACTGGATAAGTAAAAAGAATCCCAAGTATCATGAAATCAGTGGATCTTCTGGCAGGTGGCAAAAGAATGCCCTAACAAAATCTACCAATTTTTTTGCCTTTGAGAAATAGCTTTTGAAAGTTATACATTGAAAAGAAAAAAAAAATCAGTTCTTTTAGTCATCATGAAAATGAATCCAAATCAAACCCTTGCACATAAACAGCATGAATTCTTTGGTCCTGTAGAAGCTGTTAGACATTAAGGAAGATGGGAAAAATATTACTGGGTTTTTTTCCCTGTGCCCAATTGAAAAAAAAAAGGACAAATTCTTTTTTAGTAAAATAAAAAGAAGACAGGATGGGAATCCAATGTATTCAACTGTTTTAGACTTAGTATTTTAGAAGGCACAGAAAAAGAAACAACATCAAGCATGTTTTCACAGATTCTTTACTAAAATTATAGGGGGGAAAAAAGTGACTAATTTCATGCTTCCTAATGCAAAAAGCATGGTTCCCAAAGGTCCATTCCTCCATGTGTGACTATTGAGATCACTGGGAAAGGGACTAGGGAGGAGGGGTTGTAATGAAAGCACATTATAAAGCTGTCATTCCCAGGAAAATTCACAAGCTGTGATGAATACACTTTTAACCACCAAGTTAGAGAAGCAAAAGGGAAAGTAGGGACCAGTGAGGGGAAGGGAAGAAGGATGTCCCATCAGGCTTACTAGTCTTCCGAGGCAACAAACTTACCACATTGCGTGTGAATTTCTCAAAAGATGTTCGACGATCCAGAGTGTTTTCCAACTTAAATTTGAAATAAATAAAACAAAAGAAACAAACAGAAAAAGGAGGGGGAAAAGAAAAGCAAGAACAATGGAGTAGAAAAGGAGGTTTGAAGTAACAATGGACTGCAAAACAAAGTTTGTATAAATCAGGAAGCAAACACAGGTATGAGGCTGTAATGGGACTTGGCAAAACAGGGGATGGGCAAAACAGATACAGTACTAGACAAAAGTAATTTTTCATGGGGATCAAACTAGTTTGAATTTAAAGAAAAACTGAAAGTAAGAAGAAATAATGAAGTGCACATCTTGTGTTAATGAACTGACATTCACAAACTTAAGGACTTCACACGGACAGTTGAAGCTTTCTGGTATTTTCAACATCTCTCTCTATATTGGATCTTCAGAAATCAACGTTTGAACAAAAAACAAAATCACACAGTACTTTCATATAATTTTAGGTTGTCATTATTAACAATAGAATGCTATGGTCTTAATAACTACCTTGTTCCAGTAACAATTGGGGCCCCGATTTTGCAAGGCACAGGGCTCTCAGCTGATTCTAGGAGATTACTGTTTAGAGCCCACTAATAGATTTATTTATCATCATGGAAATCTGCATTGCACAAGCTGCTCCACATACTCTGGGCTGTGGCTATTCAGAACCCATTCCATAACTGGACTTTTCTAAGAAAATATTACATACCAAGACATGAACCTCTGTTTGCCAAAGTGTGACATGATCAGTCTTTCAAGTCAGATTCCTAGCCTACTCAAAACTTTTCAGCTAGTAATAGGGAAAGAAATAAATTGGAAAGCCCCTATATTTATAGTTGAAGTTAGAAGTTATTCATACGAATAAGATTGTTTCTAAACACATTCTGTAGCTTTCATAGGTGGAATAAAGAGAACAACAATTATTACATAAGCAAACTTGCAAACATGAAAGACTATTCTTATGGGATTTTATTTTATTTTTCAATGTATTTGTAAAGCACTTTGCAATTTAAGGTGCTTCATAACAGAGAAAACAGTACAATATGGGATGTAAAAATAAAAATAAGTTTTGCTAGATTAACTTATTGAAACATGCCCGCATGCAGGATATATACACATATATGTATATTGAACTCCTGTGTGTATGTGACCCTCCAAAAACGCCAAGCTGGTCACCTACCAGATATCCAGTTGCACTGGCACAGGGGAGAGAAGACTGAGTATTGTTGCAAACATAACCACTGCTTTGCACAGTGGCAAGACAAAGGCAAGATGGACCAATACCTTTTTCTTGGCCTGTAGCAGCTCCTGGTAGGCACTGGATCGTATAAAACGAGGATAAGAATCACTTTTCATCAGTTTGTAAATGTGCTCCTGAAAAGGAAAGGAGGAGCTGTTACTGCCATAGAAGAGGACACGTGTAAAATGAAAGGCAGCCCCACGTGGAATGTACACCAGCTAGCACTACCATGAATAGGAAGTATTACAGGATAGCAGGTTTCAGCTCTGAAGTTAAGGCTGAATTGCTTTCTATTCTTAAAGCCAAAGTCCCACCAATTTCTTATGTATAATTACACAACAAACCTTTCTTTAATTTATTGACCAAATTTTCCAGTACAAAATTATTTTCTAAGAATTGATAACTGAGTCCTAGCTTCAGGTCCAACTTCAAACCTCCCTTATCATTAGTGGTTTAGCTAAGTGATGAAATTAAGAGCTGTGGGTCCTTCCTCATCAGATTTTCTGAATTAGTTTCTGGAGATACTCTTGTGATTTCAGAGTCTAAGAAGAGGTACTAGGTTTACAATTCAACACCACAATTAGTGCTTAGGTTAGTGAGAATTTCCACTGACCTCTCTTGACAACATCCTTTGACAGGTGTTTAGTCTGCTCTCCAGTTAACAATATAAAAAGGAAAATACATATGTCATTTGAAAAACAGATCCAGGCTAATCTAATTGTCAGGATATTAATTCTTCAGAGGCATATGAATATTTGGAAACTTTTATTCCAAAAATAAATGACAACAGCAACTTAAAAAAACTTAATTTTGGAACACTCTAATTTCTGAAAAAGATGAAAAACAAAAAAATCTGTGACATAGAACACTTGCCAATTCTAGTTCCGATGATATGCTAGAGAAAATATTTGTAGAAAAAGCAGCCAGAACAGAAAATAGTCTAAAAAATATTTTTTAAAAATCCTGAATCATTAGCTATTGTATCATTAGCTATTTTCATGGACTTTTTGTTTTATTCAGATTCTATTTTTTCCTGTAGTTAACTTGTAGCACAGCAATTGGGAAACAGCAAAAAAACTGGAAAGAAAATACTCAGCTGTTTCTCAGCTTGGTAGTGCATAAAATTAGTGAACAAAAAAAAACCCAAAAACAAACAAAAAACCCCAAACAAAACTCCCCACCTTGTCTGAAAATTAAGGCAAGGTAAAATTAGAACTGATGTTTAATTTTTGCTGTATTAGAAACCGTAAAAAATTATTCTAAATGTCTTTGTATTTCTTACAGTAAGCAAAGAAATTCTGATGTATATTCAGAACTTAGACTGGTTTATTTGGGGAAGGTTTTTTTCACTCAGTGTCTGTGAAGACAGACAATGCAGTCAACAGAGTGCAGAAAGTGGTGATGAGAATTAAATTTTTATTTCTGTACAAGAAATATGACTGTAAAAGTGAGACTAAATTGGGCTGTATTAGTATTGTTAATGTACACGTTAGCCAGGGACATTAATGCACATATTTAGCACAATCGGGCTATTTTTATTTATGTGTCCCATTTTACTTATGTATCTACAATGGACATGGAGTTTCATCTTTCTATATTTCCAGTCCAGAAATGATTTTAATACATTTTTAACCACAATGAAATGATCCACCAACTGCCAGAATGGCACACCGGTGGTCTTCTTCCCAGCTGGCAGGCCAAAAAAAGCCTGTTGCAGAGGCAGAACCCTACTCCTGACAAAGCCCTCCACCTCAGATGGGACACTTTAAGCTCCTAAAGCTTCAAGTAAGAACACAGCAGGTGCAGCCTGTCCCTTTTCCAGAGAAATTGAGGCTTCCAGATTTAAGGTTTTGCTGAACTGGATGAAGTAAGCAGAGGTCCTCTCCAGGTGACAAAGTCCTGCTTGCGAAAATACTGAATACTCTGTGTCTTTCATAAATGAAGGACAAAATTATAAGAAGAGAGATCTGGAAGTAAAAGGGTATTGAAATTTTACACTTATTCCCAAAAAAAAAAAAAAAAAAAAAAAGGATACTGGCAAGGAATTTAAATGTCAATTACTCACACATTTTTAAAAATCTTTAATCTTGCTCTATTGTTTAGTTTTGCCATTTATGTCTTTGCTATACACTGCATTCTTAAATCTCCAGGGGTCAGCAAATGCAAGCAAAAAATTGTATGCTTGGTTTAATGCAGAGTACTTCAAAACAGTGGTTACGACATAGGGTCTACTGAAAATTTTATTGTTTCTTTATAGGTTGCTATTCTCATGATGGAAAAATTAAAAGGAGGTAAAATTATTCCCCCTCATATTTAGGACATAAGCACTCTCCCGAAAAGTAGAAAGCTTCAATTCAATTCCCTTTTCTCCTCCATGGGCCCTGTAGCAGCATCTCTTGACTCCCAAGATGATGACCTAATAATCAAACTGCAGAAAATTCTGCAGGGATATGATCTCAATCTCTCCTTTTGACACCATTTCACTTTGCATTAATAATTAAATTTTCATCACTGGGCTGCTGATGAAAATGGAGGATGATACCAGTTCTGCTACTTTTATTGTGAATCCAACTATTTTCTATTGCTTTTCTCAGAAGCCTTCAGAGATTAAATATTAAGTTATGTCACATGAAGTGTTGCATTTAATACATAAGTACTTCATTTTTTCCTCCCTACATGTTTTCCCCAATGCAAAGTCCACTTGAAAACTACATATCAAGCACAGAAGTTTCATTAAGAACTTCATATGCCTCATGAAAGAAAGAATGTTACACATTGGCATTGTCAAAATGGCATTTTAGGAAACAGGGTGTTCGTTATCATTGAATTCCCAAATACATCTCATTTTTGCATATAGATTTCACTAGCCAATATTCCATTTCAGATGTCCATAAACATGATTGCAAACTGACCTGAGCATCTTCAAACGTGTATCTCCCAGGTTCCTTCACATTTTGAGTGGTTTTGTCATAACTTTTTGAATCTAGGTTGATGGCGCTGGGTGCACCTGGAGCAAGAAATTCTTGCCAGATTTCTTGGACGCGAGCAGGAACTTCACGGATTGGCCTCTTCTTCAGGTCTTCTACTGCTAACCAGAACCTATGGCACAACACAGCATCTTGACTTCCAGCTCAGGATAACCACTAATGAAGTGCCCACATTCTTCCTTGCTCTTATAAAAGAAATTAAGTAACTGAAGTTTTCATCTAGACACACTAAAATAAGAAAAAGCTGAGTGATTTTTTGTTGGGATCAGCATTCTGATGCACTGTCTCAAGGCACTCAATCCACCCAGGGAAGCAATTTTTAGAAGGCTCTTCATGGGACAGATAGGAAATCCTTCATTACTTATGTGTGGGTAACGTGCTTGCAGGAAGATTCCAGATTGAGCTGGAATTAAACTGACACTTCATTTTGGCTGAACAACAAGGGCTTATATTACTTATAAACTAACTGCTTTTTGACCTTCCTTCAAAAACTAATCATTTATATTCTTGCTATCTGCATGAATCTCTTAGTCCTACTAAATCCTAAACTGCGTAACTGATTTTGTTACTCAGAAATCATGCATACATTGAAAAAGCATTTGTTTTGCTAATTATAATTTAATTTCTTTTTTCAGCACTCCATTTACATGCATATTTCTGCTAAAAATGCTGAATGGAATTAGACATTCTCTGTTCTGCTGCTGAGCAAACCAACATTGGGCAGCCATATGTAGTGCAGCCAGTTCACTGTATTCTCATTCAGTCTGGAACAAGATCACTAAAAAGGTCTTGAGCACTTTATGATCATAGCTAACTAGCTGTAAGCTTTATTTCATTATTTCTTCTATTGGTGTTCAGTCTCTCTCATGGCACAAAATAATCCTAAATTAATTTAGGATCCTATTCTTAGACATGGTTCACACCACTTAGTTCTCCCCCCAAATCCAAGACCTCAACTAAAGTTTGACTTTGGTAAACATGCAATATATACCATTGCAACTTTTCGTTATTGTTCTGACACAGCTGACCCTGTGAAACCGATAAACTGAGCCTTGAAGTGATTTAACTTGAAATCAGCTGGATTTTCCAAGGCTTACAAATAAATTTGGTATACCTTGTGGTTTGCACCCTACTTACACTGTGAGATCCACTTAAGCTCTCTTAGCTGAGTTCAACAAGGATGGGACAGGAGAGAACAGTGAAACTGTACACAGACTCCCAAGAAAGCAAAATGACACCACCCTCAACCCAATTCTAATTTAATTGTTGCAAAAAACTTAAGAGAGGATAGTGAATCATAGCAAACCTTATAGTACTCTTGCTATAAGATAACCTTCACTTCCTCTCAGGATGCAATTATTCTTTCATAGTCCTGTTTTGAAATTTCTGTGTAGCAGAGATGGAAGGAGCCTGTGTTCATTTTCCACAAGCCAGCATGGTTAGCTTCATGCTACCGAGAAGACTATTTTAGGTATTTCTACAACCTTCAATTTCAATTGTACATAAGAACAATATTTTCATCTAAGATTCTCCAAGAGACAGAGAAGCAATATTGTCCCAGTTTTGCAAATATATTAATAATGTAATAATGTACAGTGGTTTCTGCAAGGTCACAAAGGGGATCTGTGCCAATAGAACTGCAATTTCAAAACTTCTGGGTAGCATCACTTTTATATATGAACTACAGTGTGAATTGAACATAATTCTGCACAGAGTCTGGGGATGTGTCCTGAGAATCTGATGGCAATGCAGCAAGAAGAAATGCCTGATAAATCAAGTTTTGTAACTGCAAAGCTCACAAACTCTAATTCAGCTCATTCTCTCAAATTTGGGCAACTACTTTGGTTTCCTTAAGCTGCTTTAGATATTTGCATTTAAAAGCACATATCCATAACTGCAAAGCTCACAAACTCTTAATTCTGCTCATTCTCTCAAATTTGGGCAACCTACTTTGGTTTCCTTAAGCTGCTTTAGATATTTGCATTTAAAAGCACATATCCTGCAGTGCTAACCCCTTCAAGTGCATCTTCTGGGATTGACTGATAGCTCATGTGTCTCCAAGTCAGGTAAGGAACACAAAAATGAAAGGGAAGGATGCTCTTTGTAAACACACATTTTCTGTCTCCCTGCAGACATCCTGCAGATCTAGCTCAGAGATGTCACTTTCTTTTTTGTTCCATTGCATCACTGCCAATAATTCTGAAAGTCACTGCAAACATGCCTTAGGATGCTATTTTCTTTTACAAGTAAACTGTTTTCATATAGTAGGTTATACTCAACTATGGGGAAATAGATGGGAGATAAATTTAAATAAATTTAACTTCTATGCTTGCAGCATAGAATAGGGAGGTTGTATAGACCCATTCTTACAGGCTGAACACCAGTTCTTTGATAGACTAATTTAATTTTACCCTTCTAACAATAGCATTCAAAGACTCAACTAAAAATGTGAAACTCTAAATACAGAAACCTCTCTAAAAGTGGGAAGAATTATAATTTCTGTTATGTCTAGGGTGCTTATTTCACAGCCAACACACATTTTAAGATTTTAATCTACTTATCTTTTAAGAAAAGATGCCTGCCCTCCTCCCACAGAGAGCTGAATTCAAATATTCAAAGTTAAGAAATGACAAAAATAAGGCTGCTCTCTCTTGCATTTTCAAAAATAACTTTTTCAAATATCCCATGGCAACCAATAGCACAGATGAAGTTGAAATGGAGTCAGTAAGACCGCAGCACAGGGCCTCAAATCAAAAGAGCTCCCTGTACCATTTTACAGCTCTCTGCCTTATCAGCTGTGACCAGAGCAAGGGAGGACTCCTGTGGCAAAAAGCACACAATCTGCAACATTAACTATGTGCAAGGGCAAGTAAGGGGAGAAGGGGAATTGCATTTTTTGGGCAATATATATACAGACTTGGTGCTACTTTGTGTAAGGAACTAGAACTCAGTCTGGCTGCCCTTGGATGAAACTGCATTTCCTGTTGGTGAAGGTTTGCTTTTGCCATGGAGACCCTTTCGAGCAGATGCTCAGCACTGTTTGAACAGAGACTTGAGAAGCTGAGTGTAAACCTCGCTGCTCTCTTCTACCCCAGCATTTGGGCTGCCACTGCTGGGTCACACAGCAGAGTGAGAGTGTGTAGTGTACAGTAGTAACACATCCAGCCACATGGACTGCTAAAACACATGTTGCAAGATATCTGGAGATTATGTCCTCCAGCTGGATTACTTTCAAAGCCATGATGGCCTCATGGATAAACAGCACAGCTGCAACACAGCTTCTGTCCCATTAACTGACCTAAAGGCAGGTGCAGCCAGATTCCAGACCAAGCTAATCAGTTAAATTTAGCCCACAGGAACAGTAAGTGAGAGAAAGGCTGAAGTGGTTCTCTGTGAAACACCTGAGGTATAGTCAGTGTGGACACACTGGAGTGGGAATTATGTGAACTTTGCACTCAGTGCATGTGACAAAACAAGTAAGAGGCTAGACCTTTCAGCATTTTCAGAAAAAGCAAAAAAATACTCTAAACAAACTCTATGAATAAAAATCACATAATATTTTTCCAGGGGCAGGAAACACTGCTCTCTGATTTCTATAGCCCACCTTCTTGCCCACTACAACTTCAAGCATCAAGGCATAGTAGAACTGAAGGATTTCAAGAATATGACCAAGAAACTCATTAAATCTTGCAACTAGTTCTTTCTCATCTACTCTGCAGAAATGGCAACACTGCTGGCACTTGGCATTTAAGCTTGAGTCTGAATGAGGAATAACTCACAGGCAATTTCAGCTTTGAGGATTAAATTTCGGTCAAGTTATTAGCACCCACAACAGGGCCTCATAATCACCAGTGTAAAGGATAAACACCTCATAAAATGTCAGCTTGCAGGGGGATGGTTAGACAAAAATTATTGAGGGAAGACATCCAAATCTATCAAATTTCTCAGTCTCTCTCTTATTTTTTCTAGATAACAAGAATGCAAAGTCCCTTTTCCCTACTAGTCACACATTACAGACCCAAGAAAGGAGCATCAAGGGAAGGGGCAAGTGGTCCAGTGGCTTTTCCTTCTGTGTATCATGGAACCTAACCTGTCACCACTCTCCCTTCACTACCTTAGGGGTTTTTCAGTCTGAGAGCTGCTTTGGAGATCACACTCACTGCATAAGGATTTGGGCAGGATTTCAGGTTGGCATGTCTGAAATTATTTAATCTTTACAGGCTGCAATTCCTACAAAATAACCAGTTGGGAACAAACCTATAGTCAGCATACAAATATTAGTTTTCCAAAGAATACTACCATACTACAGACAAAGGAAAAACAAGAAGAAGAGTACAATTTCCTACAGAAATTAAAGACATTAGGTCTCCAGGTGCCATGCTGCAGTAAGTTTGCTTTCATAAACTCACTCTCTTTGAAAAGTACATTTTTTAGTACTTGGAAAACTTAGTGACTAAGCTCAATAGTACTGGATCATGCTCAAACTTTAGTCTTGTGAATTTTAAACAATGGTCACCATTTTTGTAATAGGCATCGGGAATTTCATAAATCTATTATCCAAATCATATGTTACTTTAGCTATTTGTTCTGTGTATTGAGCAGCACACAAAGCACTTCTTCCAAAAAATGTGCATGGTAACGAGAGATCACAAGTCACACCCTGCATAAGGTGAGTGCAGAATCCAGCCTGCAAAGTGCAGTCACACTGTAATGAAGTTACTGCACTGACAGAACTGCTTATGCAGTTTCATTCCTTTGCTATGCTTTACAACACTCCTTCAGAGAGTGAGATACTATTGAGCCCCATTTACAGGCAAAGAAAAAAGCAAAGACATACAAAGTAAGAATGGGAAACCTGGTTATATTCCTGTTCACTAGACAATTGTTAGTATGAAATCACAGCTCAAGGTTCTTCATCCTGCTATGTTCTTTAAGACAGGATTCATATCCCAAGGCAGGGATACAGACCCTTTAAGACAGGATCTGTATCCACCAAGAATTACATTTTCAGATACCTTAGACATTCTCAGACAAAGTTAATGTAACAGTAGCACTGGGACTTCTCACTATGTAATATCATTGCACTTGAATAAAAATGGTGTATCTGGTAGACTTATCATTTCATGGTTGTGGTATTTGTTTCACAAAATGAGGTATAAGACATCTAATCTACTAATGCTGAAGCTCCTGTCATGCCTGCAGTCCCTGCTGTATCCTGTGTACTCGGCTTGAAAGCTCAAAAGCAGGGTCCCAGCTGCCATCCAGCTATAGGCTTGGCACTGCTGTAAATTTTATCATTATTATATCTGTAAAAGTACAAGAACCAGCAACTGATTTGAGTTGAATTTGTTGCAGTGGGAATATGTGGGTGGACACAATTATTTTTCTTAAGGTGGCTGTCAAAATAATAGTTTAAAAAATACCACTAAAACCCCCAAATTACCATGATGGAGTTAACAGGTGAGCAAGGAAAGTGGTTGCCTTCTAAGGTTTATTTAGTGGTAATGCTTGAAATCATCAAGCTTTTACCTTCTGTTATTTACATCTAAAACATTGTGACAGCCATACACAACAAGCTTTACAAGTTCATGTTTTCTAACCCAAGTTTACTACGTGAACCTAATGGATTGATTTCCCTACAGCCTGGGCATTTACAAACATAATTCTGAGATTCTGAGACAGTTTCCCTTCAGTTAATTATCACAGAAAGCACCTTTCCAGAGCAAATTTATTCCCTGCCTGGCCTTTAAGATCATATTCACCCTTACTCAGATATTATATTTTATAATGCCAATTTAAGAATTTGGAGGAAGACACAGAAGAGTTGATGGCATGCCAAGGAATCATCTCTGAAGAAATTTCTTGAGGGAATTTTTCTAGATCAGTTACTTGCAGTTTGCCTGTATTTAGTGTTGTAAATAGGATTAGAGTTAGGGATTATGCGGGTAACAGTCTAGTTGGCAGAGAGACAAATTAATCACAGAAAAGCACCACAAACTGCAGCACAAACTGGGCTCAATAGGTTCATGTTTGAACAGCTGCTCTGCATAGCAAATTACCAGAATGCTCTTTAAATAATTATTTTAAAAGTAAAAAATACCTTTCTTTTTCTTGGTATTATTCTGATTTTTAAAAATTCATTTTACCAATTGGAGTTTTTAATAAGAAAAATCTGTACTTGTGACAAATAAAGTCATCAACATACACATACAGGTCAGGCTATATTTGTGATGCAAAGTTTATGTTTGAATATGAACATGGTCAGCAACTTAGAGGACTCCAGCTCCAATTATTCTGCTGACAAATTTAAATTAACAACAAGGAGATCTGTGCAATTACCCGGCATTTATAAATCAACACCATAAATATTAAAAGCCTCTTGTAAGATGATACAAAAGCATAATTTTAGTATGAATGGCTATGCTGCACCACTTTAGAGTAAGAATTGGCATAGTAAAAAAGTAGGTTAGGATTATTCTACAGATCTAAAATGTAAATGCAAATAGGATTTTATACTACTTATTGGTGAATGGAAAGTGATACAGATGACATCTGACAAGAATTAAGATAAAAACATGCTGCCTATATTTTTGTACCATGCCAGCTTAATTTTTCTGTCTATAGAAAGGCTGTTAATAATCTCTCTGAAATAACTCTTACTGAAATATGACTTTCTTAGAACAGCAAAACCAAAACATGCTATTAACCAATTGATGGACTGCCATTTTTAAAATCAAGTAATTTTTTCCTCTCACTTAAAAGTAATTCTTTAAGCACACTTTTAAAAACATGCTGTCTATGCGTCATACACTAAGAACACTTTCCATCTTATAATTAGTGAGGAACATCCTACTTCAGCTGTGTCAGATGCACAAGTACTATCATATTGGTGGAGACATTCAAAATGATCCCCAGAAACCAATCAACCTGATGCAAGTTGGTGAATTTTACTTTTAGATCTTTTATTTATTTTTAAACTTTTTAATTTTCATTTTGCTTTTCTCATGATATTTAACTAAATAAAATATATTGAACAGTCTTTGAATGAATCCATTTTATACCTGTTTAAAAGACAAGCTTAGAGAAAAGTTCTTACATGAGTAGTTTGACCAAAAGTTGAATATGAATGGAAAAATATGCTTCATGTGAGTCTCTGTTAACTATATGAATATTTGCTTCAGCCTGTACATGAAAGCGAGTAACAGTCTGGATTAATTAATTCTGAAAGGTGAGGAAAATTTTTGAAGCGGTCAAAAAAATGAAAAGTATCAGGAATACTACAAAGCAAAAATCCAATATAACTTACAAACAATTAAAAAATAAAGTAACTCTTATTTACCTTAAGTTTTCTGAACTGAATTCTGACTCCAAGAATTTCAGAAATTGCTCTCTTCCCACAGGGTCTTTCAAAGCTTCATCCATGCCAAATCCCCATCGTTTCACCCTCTGCTGTCCTGGCTCTTTGCTACAGAATTAGAAACAACAGAACCTGAAGTGACCAATAGTTCAGTATTCTAACAAAGTGTTCATAATTTAGACTAAGTCCTAAAGTTCCCTGGTTTTCTCACTTTTTAAAGTGCTCACATCTGTGCAATGTTCAGCAATGAACAAACAGACTGTTAGTACTTACATAGGATGAAGGTAATACACAGAAAAATAAAGATTTCCAAGTAGGAATGTTGTCAGATTTTAAAAGCTGTCTTTTTAGTTTTTACCATACTAGAAGCCTGGAAACTGGTTATTGTAACATTTCACAGAGATTTATTAATATATAGCACTTCCTGTCTTACAAAACTGTAAAACTGGAAAGACCAAAAGTGTACTGCACTGCCCTTCTGCCTCAGTATTCTCTGCAGTACCTCTGTCTGAAATCTTCACATTTCCAGAAAAGCATGTTATGCTCCCTTACTTCCAAAGAAGAAATAAAATTGTATACCTTGCTTCCAGTTCCCAGAAAGTGGTGTCATCTGATATCCAAGGGTTTGAGGGATCAGGGGGCACAAGAAAAGGATCATATTCCAAATACTGCTCTGTATAAGCTAGTAGACTAGGAAAACAAAAGCATCAAACATTATCATGTCAGGAGGAGAAGAAACCTGATGAGGTTTCCCCAGCTAACAAGTTACCTTGCATCAACTGAGCCATGGTAACTGTGTGTGCACACACTCAGAAGGCAGCCACAAGCTCAGGGTGAAATAGGTTTGCTCAGGCTGTTTGAAAGTGGACCACTGAAGAAGGAGGGGGGGCTCAGGTCTACCAAAAGTGGAAATAAAGTAAGCTTCCCTAATACTTCCACATAGCTTCATTTAAGGTTCCTTTAGGCACTAATAAATTAAATCATGCAACCTCTTCCATGCACATTTGTTTTCATAAAGGAACATATTTTATATCCCTGTGGTTTTAATCAACACTTTCCTTAAAATCTGTTCTAAAACACTGCATGTTACATAGATTATATTTATTGGCTCTGCAGCTGCTAGTACTCCTTTTATTTTCTCTTAAATATAATTAATTTTTATTATTATTATCTAATCAAAGGACATTATTCCCAGGTTTATTTTTTTCAAAAATAAATCAATCTTTTTTCAATTTTTTTTTAATACTCAGGAATTGGTCTGACAGTCACACACACTAAAAACTTTGCTTGTATTCTGGTAATTTACATCTCCCATTGTCCTTATTTATGCTTGCTGTTTCCTTTGACCTCATAGTTCTTGTAAAATTATGGACAAGTGAGGACAACTATTCTTTCTTTTCAATTCCTATTATATTTAGTGTATTTATTTTACTGCCCAGCAAACAAAAAATCTTGACCTGCTCTCTTTATAAATAAATATTTATATGTATTTGCATATGTATGCACACATACACATAAATGAGTAGCAATATATGCAGAAATGTTTTTGAGAAGATGAAGAGCAATTTGTATTTGGCCTTATTTCCTTTACTAAGCCCCATGCAGCTCAATTTTCTGCAATGTTGGGCTTTTTGTTTTATTTGCATTCTAGCCCCTTCCTGACAAATTTTGGTTTTATGTGGAGATAGTTTCCTACTAGAGTAATATCTCTGACCCAAACTGAGCCCAAATTCACTTTGTTCAAGCACTGACTGAGCTCCACACCAGCCAGTTCCCTTGCTTCATTAGTGATTGCCCTTTTGAAACATAAAAAAAATAACCCCAGACCTATTCCCATTTAGCCTCCCTTCCAATGAAAGGTGAAACCTGTAATCACTTGGTCAGAGGCCCTTTTATTGAATCAGGTTTATCAGAAATGTATCATGGAATATCTGGAATATTTTTATTACTAAAAGAACTTCATACTTCTCCACTTAAATAAACTCTCATCAGTTATTTCTATGACATCTGAGCTCTCAGGTCTCTCTTTGAAGAGCTATTTGCTGTGAATAACTTTTTGAAGCTATTTCATACTGACATTTTTCCCAACATTTATCAGTTTAATTGAAAAAAAATAGAAAATGTGACAATATACGTACCTCTCTGCAACTTTTGACATTTTTAATCTATGTCTGTCTAATTGCATTTGCCAGTGCTTAATCTGCAAGAAAGGAAGGCAAAGAGTTTTATGAGTAATTTATTGCTTGACCCTCTTCCTATAACTTTTTTTATTAGGGATGTAATTGAACATTAAATTATCCTAGGGCACAGAAGAGAAATATATCTGAATTAAAACAACATTTCACCAGTGAAGCTCTAAAATAAATGGAAGTTTCCATTAAAGAGAAAAGATCACAAAGAGACAAAAAAATGTGCCCAATATAACATTTTCCCTAAAGGTTCATCAACAGAAATCCAATTAGCCTTTTTTTAGATTTTTGAGGACTAATACTTCTTCAGACATTTACCTTCTCCAGATTCTAACATCTCAGGAAAAATTAACAAAGTTTTAACAGTAGATAAAAATGTGGACCTATACATGCACATATGGAGTGGTAAGTATCCTCCCCAGCCTCAAATCAGTGTTGAAAGAGCAAGCTGTCTACAGCTGAAGGGGCTAAGGGGCTTAGCTATACAATGAACCCACTCACTGGCCTACTTCCCACTGCATTTAGGTGTTTAATACATGACACAAAAAGTTCAGGTTTTGTCTCATTATTTCTGAGGAAGTTACATGCCTAAACCCATATACCTTGAGATTAGAAAAAGGTTTAATAAATGTGTGTAACAGCTGTTTGAATAACTTCCCAGTTACAATAATTTTTGGGTTTATACCTAAAAAGTTATTTCCTAAAAAAGTTATTTTAAAAATACGTGTTTGTAGTTATGTTCCAAACCTCTTGGTGTAGTTCATCTTCTGTGGGTGGCTTAGTCTCTGGCACTGGCGTGTGTGTAGGGCTGTGACTTCGGATGTCATTTTGTAAGCCATAGACAGACTATGCAAAAAAAACATGGAACAACGATGGTTGCTTTCAGACAATGCTTTCTACACACACCCATAGTACATTGTGCTCAAGAAGTTAGCCAAGACCCTCTTTACCTAAAGAAACTGCAATAACCCATGCTCTCAGATAAAAATGTGCTTCTGCACTAGAGTGTAAAATGAAGACTCCCAAACTCCAACAATTCCATAAAGCCACACAACCAAGGATCTACTTTTATTAGGTCTCTATATTAGCATCATACTAAACGTGGGGAATGACACTGAGAGATGCTATTACAGTAAGTGGAGATGACTGGTAGGTGGAGCATCCTGAGAGGTACACTAACTCACAGATTATTTGGATGACTTCCAAAATTGAAATTACTGTCTCATAAATTACATTAATCTGGACCTTTCAGTACCATAAAGAAGCTAAATTAAAACTTTCTCTAAATCCACTTTCCTTTTTAAAACATATCTTCCTATGGGCCAACATGCAAATGCACCTCAAAGGAAGCACTTTAAAGTGGGAGTCAGTCTACATGGTTGTGGTGCAATGGATTTAAAAGTGTTGAGTCAATCCATTTGTACATCCCTAGAGAAGTTACACTGCGATTACAACCTAATTTAGATAGAGCTAGTTTCTTCCATCATTTCCAGTCATCCATTCTGGGCATAATTGTAATATAGAGACACCCTTTTCATGAAGACCAGGACAAGAACTGCTGTTAGAGTTTATGCTGAATTTTTAATTTTTTTTTCCTTTATTACAGACAGAAACATTTTAATGTTATTTACTGAATAACATGAATAAAGCATGCAAAAATTAATTTTATCTTCAAAATCTCTTTGTATTTCTCCAAAATCTTATGTGATAGCATTCACTTAGCATTAGCAAATTTGTTAATACTAATTCATCTAAAAGCTTATGAAATTTTAGCATATGTTTCATGTATTTGCTCCTTGCAGCTGTAAGAAAAATGTGCTTTAAGAAATTATGGAAATCCATTCTATAAATTTCCTCCACCTCCTGCTTTTGATATAATAACCATACTTACCTTTCTTGTTTTATGTGGATTTCTCATTCTTGATGATTTTTTTATATCCACTTCAGTAGTGTTTACACAGCCAGGCTATTAAAAGAAAAAGGAAAGCAAAAGGCTAAATCTGTGATGGAGCTTCTCTGAGCTACTCCTCTTCAGTGTGCAAGACTGAAAAATAAATTCCACACCATGAAATTGAAATAAAATAAATTGCCAAGATAATGGAAACCAGTCAGTTTCTGCTTTGGTTTTGCCAAGGAAGCCATTCATTACTTTCTAGATATCCCTCTAAGGAGCATGGCTGACCTAATGAGATAAAATGAACAGAATTGTGAAATATTCACCTCAGCTGTTAACCTCAGGTTCTCTTCAGGAGCATCTGCTTTTTGGGTCAATTTTTTTAAAGAGGATCATGTTTTAAAATAAAATGAAAAAAAAAAAAGGTTTTGTTTCTTCCAGAAAAGAAAGGAAAAAACCAAACCAAAACAACAAAATGGGCTTCTGCAGCCTAACCAGAAGACTGACAGTCTAAATAAAATTACTCTCAACACGTCATTTTTGGGTTTCAGTGGTTAATTCTCACAACTCTATGGCCTCCCAAAGCACACAAGCACTGTAGTTTCTCCTAATTCATCTTCCTTTGACACTTCTCTCTAATTACAAAATCTATGTGTAAATCTGTTCTTCACTCATTGCTGGAAACAAATAAAAATAAGTACTTTGCTCTCAGGTGAGTTTTATCTATTGATTTTAGAAGGATTACATTTGACACTGAGTGGAAACTACAAAATCCGCTCTCTAGTGGGAGCAGACTTTTACTGAAAGTAGATTGGGTTGGTTTTTTTAATGGAAGTGGCTAGATATTGAATTTACTTGCCCAAAAGCCAAGCTGGACTTATTTGTGCTCTAATGATACAACCTCTGTCTTCTTATCATAATGGACAATGCTTGATGTGACTGTAAATTTAATAAGACAACATTTTAAAAGTTTCTTGTATAGGCGAAAAAAAAAATAGCTTTCATTACACAGTGCAATGTTACTTTGCCTCTGGAGAATTTTCTAAACAACAGACTGATTTTTTAAATCCAGTATGTTTTTTTTTAAAATTAATAAATAAATAAGTTTCTATTTTAAAGAAGCAAATTAGTGTGAATTTGATCATATAACATTTGAAGTACAAAACAGCTCCTCATGGCTAATGATAAAAATAGACATTCTTAAGACTGCACCTGACACACTAGAATTGGAACAGTACCTTTTGTGCTTCTGAACAAAAATGGGAAATTTTGAACTTAGAAATAACTTGCAAATCACAAAGAAAAAGGTTGAAAAACACAAAGTTCTGCATGATGGTCAATTTAAAAGAAGAAAGCAATTTCCCAGGGCAGTATACTGAGATATAAAGTTTAACAGTACCAAGTGCATCTGCTTCGGGATTACAGCAGCAGCTGGCAGTGAAAATGCAGAGACTTTAACAACATCTGCAGCCTTTGAATGTAACAATTTGAATAGCAGGCACACTTACATAAGGCACAAACTTTTATTTGTTTATTTGCTTTTAAGCATGCTTTGAAGTTATGATTTTAAGCATGTTCTAAAAATGGAGAGGGGGGAAAAAAGGCATAAAACCCCATCTGAAGCCTCTTATTTTTAAATATTTCTAGCCCACCAGAAGTAAATTGGTATGGACAGATCTTGCAACTTTCCTAGGTAACTCACATGCCAGAATTGTGCGGATTGATGCAAGGGGGACAAGAACTTCTGGGAGACTTTTAGAAACAAAACAAGGGCAACACTTTTTTCTGGTTGCAAAGAGGCCCAACCCAGTACTGACCTTCTACAGCACTTAGTGGATTCTTACTGACACCTGGCTGTTTCAAACACTGAAGTGAAGATGCTCAGGCAGGGGCAGGTAGGAGAGGCTGTGGGGGCAGAAGCTGGACCAACGTGGGACTGAATAGAAGCTGACAGGAGAGCAGCCCCAAGAAGGCAGAGGCAAGGAAGCATCTGGAAGCTTCAGTGCAGAAGGGGAGATGGCTAAAGGATGTATCAACTATTCTGACAACCTGGGGTAACAACAGGAGCTTAAGACATGTATCACTGCCTCTATACAATAGTATTCCCATAATTTGATTTAAATTGTGACTGGGAGTATCTAATGTAGTTTGGGACATAATTTATGTTTTCTTCTCAGCTGAAGTATATTTATTAAATTATACTTGATATGAGATGGGTTTTATTGTTCTTCTGATGCTGCCAAATTTCATCTGTAAATATTTAGGAATAAATATCAAACATCTTTTCAATTACAATAAACACAAAAAGTTGCATTATGTGAACATTTTGCTAAAATAACTCAGCCTTTGTGGGAAAACCTTTGCTGGACAACATTTAATTTTATTTGTATGCCCTCATTAACATAATAAGTATGTGTTTGAATACAATTATATCCAGCTGTGTTTTCTTTTTGTGTTGTTTTTTTAACTGTACTACCATAGTTCAAATAGTGAGATGCCTGTCAGAGTGCTCTGCTGCAAGAATCCCATTTAGTGTGTGGTATATAATTTGCATACTAATACTGTAAATAGTTTTCAAACGGATTTCCTGGAAGACTTGAGGAGTCTTCTACATGAGTAAATAGAGTGCTTATTTCTTTCAGGAGTAATGTTCTGTGTGAAAACAATTTCCCCCCCAACACAGAGAGGAAAGCCTTGTGACCTTCTTGAAATTATCATACAGCAAGATCATAACCAGGGCAGAATCTGGTCCTCATCAATTTTTAAATATCTGATCAAAAAACTGTCTTACATTCACTTTGTTTTTTTCATCCATCTATTAGCATGTACTTATCTCAAAGTACAAATGCCCTTGTATTAATCAAAGGACAGTTGTGATAAATTCACTGTTGATATAAATGGTTACAGAGAAATAATATTAAAAAAACCCCACATATAGAGGAATTTCAATCCCTACTTCAATTATTGGATAGCAAGGTTAGCATGAATCCCAAGCAGCAGCACTTTCTACTGATGCTGTCTAGGAGGATGCACACCAGGCTTCTGCTAAGAAACACAAAAGAAGGAAGAAGCCTTGTCTGTAAGCAGAGGAGGAACCAGAACCTACCTGCCTCGATCTGGCTATGACCAGCATTTGAAACAAACATCTGAGAGGAGGTTGAGTTAAAAAAAAATCCACCTGATCTTAATGTTCTATCCCTGATAACTGTGGCAACAGTGAATATATTATTTAGACTCTTCTAATAGTGCTACAGCGTATTAATTTTAGGAAACCTGTAACAACTCTTGGGAAGAATTAATTATTTACAGAATATGGCATGCTTGAACCATGGTAAATTTCCATCCAAGCAGTGCAGAGTATGGAGTATTTATAGTTTGCTTGCTGTACAAAGTTGCACACTCCAAGTGTCCTTTTTATTGCCCCCAAATCAACATCTGTTAATGCCTTTTTTGTATCAAAATCTCTTTGACATGATGTAATTCTAGAAAGTGCAGAATGCTCAATAGAGAGTAAATTAATATTTATAATTAGGTCAGCTGAAGTTTTGATGTCTTTTTTATCTTTCACAAAGAAGATGGCAATTTATCTGTGAATCTATTTTAGCCAAAATAACCAGAAGTTTTCGTGTATCCGAGACAAATATACCCCTGTATGTGGGAGGGAATAAGCTTGTGCATTCTGATAGGCTGGGAACTGTCTGTCTGGATTGCTGCTCTGTAGGAAAGGATCTGAAGGAGAAGCTGAACATGAGTCAGCAGTATCTCTTTGCAGCAATGCAGACAAACCACATACCCAGCTGCATGAGCAACAGCTCAGCCAGCAGGCAAAGTGTTTATTTCTTTCTACTCAGCATCAAAAGGAAACTTCTGGAACACCAAGACTACCTTTGAGCCCCACAAACAACACAAGAAATATATTTCAAATGGGAAAATCAGGAGGAACAGACTTTTTTATGCTTGCAAAAAGGGAGAGCTAACTGCTGCCTTTTGTGCCTACAGGGGGGCTTACAGAGATAGATCTTTCCCAAAGGTGCATTCTGCAAGGACAGGAGACAGTAATCTGAAATTGCAGTAAAGGAATTTCCAGTCAGCTGTAAAGAAATATACTTCACAATAAAAGTAAGAGAGGCTGTGGAATGTCTATCCTTGGTGATTTTCAAAGCTTGTTTAACCCAAGGGCCTGGACAATCTTATTGTCAGCACTGGTTTGGCCAGGAAGTTGAACTAGAAGACCTCCAGAGGTCCCTCTCAGCCTACACTTCTGTGGTGCAGCCTACTCTTCACAAGCTGAAGGGAGTGAAATTCAGATAATCCACTTTACAGAGCACTCTAATCAAGTATTCACACTGGTGTGAAATTCATCTCTCCGCCTTCCCCATCCCACAACAGCAGAGTGGAAACAAGACTGGTATTTGCTTCCTTACTGCTGCCCCTGCCCTGCAGCAGCCTGTGCTGCACTCAACCCATGCAAACAAACCTCAGGTTGATTTAAGGAAATGTAATTTCACACTCTCTTTAGCTAAAAATACACAGGTACTATTTAAAATAATTACCTCGTTTCAATATGCACACCCATAAATTCAGAGTTCATTAAAGCAGTAAATATTAAGGTAGATTGGTTCACATACCTTAGGAATTTTCATTGCATCTCAGTGTCAATACACTGTGAAACAGATATTTTTATTTGTTTTGCAGGCATGGTCTAACTTGTTAAGTGTAATTGGAAAATACTAAATTTTAAGATCTCCAGGCTTTCAGAATTTAAAAGACTTTAAATTTAAATTATGGACCTGGGTACAAACATGACAGACTGTCTCTCTCACTGGAAAATAGAAAAGTCAGACACACAAGCATAAAGAAAAAGCAGAGATTTAAATCTTTCTTTCACATTATGTGAAATAGAAGATTATCGCAAAAGAGTAAGCTTAAAATTTGAAATTTTCTGAGTGTCAAATGTTAGAGTTGGATTCTGCAACAGTCTATTCTGCTATTTCTGTCATTGCTGCTATTCCTGTCATTTTTCTAGGCATCTTCTAACCCTCAACAGGAACTATTCATACCACTTTCTAAAG